TCGGGACTGCCGTTCCTATGGCCCCAACAGCTCCTGGCGCTGCAAAGTCTGCACCAAGGAGGCGTGAGTACCCGGGGACAGGTGGCAGGGACCTTCTGTGCGCTCCTCCTGTCCCCTTCCTCTTCCCAGTCACCCCAGCTTGATGCCCTATGGCTAACCTTTCCTAGCCCAGTTGGTCTTCTCCAGCACAGGGCAGCTGTCTCTGCTGTCGCTTCCTGGGGTGGGCACCCATGGTTGGGTGATGGAGAACTGGGACGTGCCCCACTCTCGGGTCTCTTTCATCTCCACCCCACTCCTTTTTCCCCCCTTACTTGATGCTGGCGTCCCCCCCCGCCCCTCGCACAGCCTGTGTTTCAAGCACCCCAGGTTTCCTCCCTCTCGGCCTCCCCTGTCCTACAAAACCCGTCTTGCTCCTGCGTTTGCTGGGGATGCAGCTGGGCCCGTTGTCTGCCCAGTGCATCGTCTCTGCCCAGCCACCTGCCGAACGTGCCCACTGTGCCCTTGCTCTCCTTGGCTGGTGGCAGCACCGAGGGCGGCGTTGGGGTGCAGGGAGCAGCCCCCCACTGCCTCCCTGCCCTGCAGTGAGCTGAAGAAGACGACGGGCGACTGGTTCTACGACCAGAGGGTCAACCGCTTTGCCAACCGTCTGGGCAGCGACATGGTGCGGCTGTCCCTGCGGCACAGGTCGGCAGGTAGGGGTGCCGCAGCGATGCCTTCTCTCATAGCCTGTCCCTCCGGGGTGCTCCAGCTTTCCCTGGTGCACCTCTGCCCAGCGCGGAGTTGGCTGGGAGCAGCTCCTGCTCCAGGCAGTGGGCTTGGAGCAGTGGTTTTCGTGATGCCTCTCTTCTTCTAGCCAGCAAAAGAGAGACTGTGGGACAAACCCTCCTCCAGAAAGCCCAGCTCGGCGAGCCCAAAAGCTCCTCCGCAACCCGGCAGCAGAGCCCCCCGGCACCCCGGGAGGGGTCCAGGTGAGGATCCCTGCCGTCGCCCCTGCTCTGGGTGCCAGCCCTTGCCTGCTGCAGGGACGGGAGGGACGCTGCCGCCCAGCTCGGATCGTTGGTGGCGCAGAAGCTCTTTCTCAGACTGGCCTCCTCGCCAAACAGGACATACCTGTGGTTTTGTTTGTCTGCAGTTTGTTTCTGGATGCCTCAGACCCTCGGGATGGTAAAAGTGACACAGAGTCCATGGAAAACATGAGCCTGGATGGCTACAGACCTAGTCCTGGTGGCGTGGGGGGCAGGTGAGGGGCTCCCTGGGTTCTTTGTCTTTGGCAAGGCTGGCCTGGCAGAGGATGAGGACCTTCATCTCAAGTGCGCTTTTCTCAGTCTAGTGTGGGGGAGCTGGCTCCCCTGGCTGGGCTGAAACCTGTCCCTAGGCAGGCAGGTCCTCTGCTCCCCATGCTGGGGTGCTCCAGGGAGCTTGCCTGGCTCCAGGGAGCTTGTGGGGAGACGGCGCTTCCCGGCCAGCGCTTGCTCTCCCAGTGGTGCTCTTGGCCTGGGACAGACCTTTCTGTGTCCTCCGCAGGAGTAACTCCCTGGAGAGAGCCGCCCCTCTCAGAGATGGAAAACAGGTTGCTGCGCCAGCAGGACCTGCTGCCTCCAGCCTGACCCTCCCTCTTCGCTCCAAAAACGTGTTCTCCGACGGACGGGTGCGTGCTGCTGCTCCAGCATGCTCAGCCCTGTCCTGGGGCGCAGGGCTGGGAGCCCCACGGGGTGCCCAGCCCTGCCCTGCTCTGAAGGGACCTGTCCTCCCCAGGATGCTGCTGTGGGGAGCCGCAGCAATGCCTTGGTGGACGAGCATGAAACAATATTCAAGAAGAATCCCCGACGGGTGGTGAGCCCTGCAGGTGAGAGCTGCATAGGTGCAGGGGGGTTGGGGTGCCGACATGGCGGG